AGGCTAGTGAGGTCAAAAAGAGCATAATTTCTTCCCTGCAGCCGTGGTATTTACCAGAGACACTTTCAAAGAAGGGAACATACATCAGTGGCACGCTGATGCACACAGGGCACATGCTAAAAACATAACGCTGCTTTAAAAAAAAACAAATTCTTAAGCACTGTGATTAAGAAGGGCAACATTACAGAAGTAAAGTTGGAGCGTGGTGGTAATGATTGTGCTAACACAGCCTCACGCATCTTAAAAGGCAGAAGGTCCCCTCCACTCCTCAGCAAACCGCATATACAAAGCTTTGTCTTGTGGCTGCAGCGAGCTTTGGTGAGAACTTTTACTTAAACGAGAACTTTTCTTAAGCAGAGACATTAGGCACCTATCATAGACAAGAGGAAAAAAAAACTTACAATGCTTAACTACTGAAGACCAGATGCTAGCCAGCTGGGCTCTGTATCAGTAAGTCAGGTTCTGCCCTCCTATGTGCTTTTCCCACCCTCTTGGACTGATACCACCGAGGTTTGGCGCTCTATTCCAGACTGTCACGAGCATAGCATTTTGTGTGACCTTCCAGTCTTGAGGCCAGTATGTCTCCATTCAGGCAGAGGAGTAGGAGACTACCACCATGCAAACCTTAAGACAAAAAACTATGGATCTTTCAGAATTCATGCCGCCTACGAATGCGAACAGGTCAAAAAAAATCACAAGAAAGCTTCAGACCTGTGTTTAATTTGCTGCTGCTTCCATTTCTTGGCTGTAGCTGCTCCTCCTCCCGCCCCAGACTGTGCAACATGGGAAAGAGACGCACAGCAAAAAAAAGATTGCAGTAATAAATAAATAGATAAATAAATAAAGACCAGCTGGTATTTCCCATGACTTTCCTCGTGGGGTGGTGGTGTAACCTGCCCATCTCTTCTTTCCCACGGAGAGCCCCAAAGCGCTGTGGATCGTGTAACTGATGCATACCTCGTTCAGCTGCCTATCTCTAAGCATTTCTTAAATAACTAGAAAACACCAGTGGTCTATCTGAGGTAAGCACAATATAAGACACCAGCAACACAGACTGTATCCTTTTCTATGTTATCTAACTTTTTTTAGTGAACCTTGAACACTTGGCTTTGGGCAAGGAGTCCGTACGTTCAAGGGAACCTGAAACACAGACACAATCCTGGGACTGCACAGCAGTCAGAGACGTGTACGACGCATGAATTTTTCTGCCTGGTGCTGCGATGTGGATCTGGACGAACGTTCCTGAAGCCAGTGGAGCGTCCCCAAATTTGCATAAACACAGAGAAGGATTTGGCATATGGTCAGACTATCGGTTTTAATTTGGCTCTGAAATATTTTCAAGCCTATGGCTAGCAAGCCGATAAGTAACCTGATTGCCCAGTGTGCATGAGCCTGAAAATTCTGTTCAGACCTGGGATCTTCAACCTTTTCAAACGCGCAAACTGCTAAACAGTTTGAAATTGACCCTCGCTTAACAAATTTAAGCTTCTGATGGCAGATCCGCTTCTCTCACTTACCTTTCGCAGGTCCGCTAGAAGTAGTCCATGGGTCCCCGTCGAAACCACTGGTTTAGACAAAATGGGAAATAGCGTTTACACAGAAAAGGCAAAAATAAAACTATGATGTGGAAAGAAAAGGATGGAGTACACATTTCCTACTGCAATCAGTATTTAAGGGATAGCTAACATAATAGCTTCTGTTGCGACTGCAGCTCCTGCAGCACACACCAGGCAGCTCAGAGCGAGCCAGCGGCGCGTCTGCGGTATCCCCACCGCAGCCAGAAAGCCCACGGGAGCAGAGTAAAGTAAGTACCAGGCCGTGAGCTCAAGCTGAGCTTCACGATCATTTAAAGCTCGCTTTGGCATGTCTGCGTGAGATGTAGTTACAGCAATGACTGCTGGGTGGACTAACCCGAGCTGTGGCTACTGGCGCTTACCTGACGGAATAAGAAGGCTGATACACATGCGGCATTTGCTGTAGAAGCACAATTGAATCATAAATTGGTGCATATGACATAGACACGTACATATTTTATATATTTATTTTTCTTAGAAAACATTGCTGCTGTTTATGTCCATTAGTTTACATATTTATTCCTACGACAGTATAATTTATAATAATACTTTCACTTCTATAGCACCTTCTCTTCAAGGATCTCCAATCGCTTAAAAACTTGAATAAATAAAGCCTCACATCTTGCCTGCGAGGTAGGTCAACACTATTATCAACTTTACAGATGCATTAATTGAAGAACTGAGAGGTTAAGGCCAAAATCTTCACGTGTTTGTACCTGAAGTCAACCATCTAAATTGTCATTTAGATGCTTAAATAAAAGTCTTATGATTTTCTTTGGTGCAGAACATCCACAACTACTGCCCAAGTCAACAGGGGCTACTGGTTCGGCCTGATTTTAGGAGGCACACCTTCCACAGCACCGCGCCGAGATTGAAAATACTGGTCTAAATACACTAAGCATGGTCAGAGCCAGAACTGACCCCAGTAATTTATCTCCTCAGGGCCTCAATATTATTATATATCGCTTTAAAAGGCTATCGGGAATTTTTTTGAATGAACATAATTGACACAAAATCATGTGCTATTTCCATCGTCTACTTCCACCGCAATGGATTCTGTACAAATACTGCTTGGGTTCTTTGTTTTTAGGGTTTTGCGATAATCAAGAATATGCACAGTACACATCGCTTGTGAGGTCATAAAACACATCACACTTACATCTTCAGTTGCTGTCTTTACATTTCTACATAGTCAGTAAATTTCTTTGCACTTGTGATAGATAGAAGTGGTCGAGTAAAGGTCTGTTAAGAGGATACTTGTCAGAATATCATGCAGACAGCTTGCAAAATACACATACTAAAAGATCACTTCCAAATTTTTTGAACTGTTCAGCACGAAAATAATTACCTCATTCCAATACAGTGTCGTGTAGAAACCTGGAATAAGAAGCATGATCTTACTCCTGATCTAATAGATTATAACAAGTTAAAAAAAATTCAGGCACCAAATGAATTATCCTGCAACACAGAGTAGTATATCTAGACAAAGTGCTCTCCTTAACTATACTAGAAAATCGGCTGTACAGCAATATTTTTCATTTCATATTATAGCATCTCATCACACTTTAAATGTATCATTGATGTTCCAACTTGCCAACACAGAACTATTTTCCACTGGCCTTTTACAGAAACTCGTAATACAGAAGAGAAACTTACCAAGAGGGAAAAACCACTGCCAAATCATAACTACCTTGCCTGAAGGTAAAATGTTCAATATGCGAGTTATGCTACTGTACTCCGCTTTTATAGTGGTGCGAAAAGTCCGTACATCAATGCGGGTTTCTCTCACTGTATAAAAATTGAGCTCAATGGCCAGCGAAATATTATTCTCTGCCACAGGGGTCTCTTAGAGCTACATTAGAGCTCCATGAATCAAATCGCCTTCCGTACACGGTGCAGCGTAGTGCTTCAGGTCTCCCACACTGAACGAGAATTTCCAAGAACTAAATAACAAAGCTTGTTTTAAGCAGCCAGTTGAGGGCCCGATGGGCCTTCTTCGTAGTACCGTCACCAAAAAAAAAAACCCTACTCAGTGCGTTGTAGGGATACAGCGGCTCAGCCTCTTTAAGATCATAACACCGCCTAACAGAGCTGCTCCTACATGCCCTTGGTTACTTCACAAAGGGGAAAAAAGGCCGCAGGCGCCGCGCTGCTCCGCGGCCGCAGCCCTCCAGCTGCCTTCCAGGCAGGGGCAGCAGCAGCACGCCGCTCTT